CACCCCTTCCCTTATTGATCCCTCGTAGAACAAAGAAACGTGAAGAAGTAGGAGGCTATGATGTTCCTCCCAAGACAATGGTGTTTGTGAATGCGTGGGCAATTCAGAGGGACCCTCAAGTCTGGGAAAGGCCTGAAGAGTTCGTTCCAGAGAGATTTGAACAGAGGGAGATTGATTTCAAAGGACAAGACTTTGAGTATATCCCATTTGGTTCAGGAAGAAGGATATGTCCAGGGATGGCCTTTGGGCTTGCTTCCATTGATTACCAACTCGCTAATCTTCTTTATTGGTTTGACTGGTGGCTGCCTTCTTCTGCGTGTGATGTAGATATGGGCGAGACATTTGGGCTCGTCGTCAAAAAGACAATGCCACTTTATCTTCAACCCAAACCCTACTTGCTTCCGATGCAGTCATATGTTGCGGTTTCTGTTTGTTCTTGTGATATGATGTGCGAAAACCTAAATAATTAAATGTGACGCACATTGTTTAATTTGAGGTTTGTGTTTAAGTTGAAAATTTCATCTTCCGTACCATATCCCTTGTGCTATTTGGATGGAGTCTTGTTTAATTAATGAAGAGAAATGAGTCAATATATATAATGACTGAGTAATAGTAAAAGTAGTGTTGATGATCAAGTGAGTTCACATTGATGAAATTTTAAAGTGCTACTACCTCTGATTCTAATTATGAGACCTCGTTTGTAGACTACAAATGAGATCTTATAATTAAGAGCAGAGGTACTATAATAATTGCCTTTATACTTCAAACACTATAATCTTATTTTTTTTAAGAAAAAGTTATTTTGACATGCATCCATCTAGCAAGCCACCAGTAAAAATTTCTGCCTCCTTATATAGCTTCCTTCCTTCCTTCCTTCCTTCCTTCTTCACTCCTTTTGATCAAAAGAAGATGAGTTGTGTAACATCCTTATTTTTATACCTATAATTTAATTAAATTTATAAATAAATATCTTTTAGTATCAAGTTAGTAGAAATTTATATATAAACAAATTATTTTTGAATTAATCATGATTGTGGGTGTGTGAATGCGTGTGTGTGAATGCGTGTGATATTATAGAAATAAATAAGTATAGCATGGTATAAAAGTCTCACATCAACTAACTACTAGAATAAAGGAGCTTGAGGAGCCTATATATAGGAGGTGGTGGATGGAGTTTAGAGTAAGTAAACAATTTTCACACATATCTGAGGCAGTATTAGAAAAGTGCTAGTTTTAAGTTTGCTAACCGTTGGATCAGACCAAAATTTGGTCAGCCATTTGGGACATCCAAATCATCAATTTCAATGTCTGGATTGTTAATCTAATCTCTGAGTTATAAGTTATTCGATACGTTTTCAACTTATTTTTCTTCAGATTTGGTAGATAAGAGTCCTAAATCATAAATTAGTGTTTTTAAATTCATTCATCATTAGATTGAGTTATAATTTGGAGAATAGAATCATTATAGATAGGAAATTAAATTCAACGGTCAGATCTATGGTTTAACTTCTGTAGTGAGAATAACCTAGTTATAAATTGGGGTTTTTCCTATCTACGTTATGAACTTGATAATTCTAATGATATAACCTTATAATTAAAGGATATTTAAGTTAAGAAAAAAAATCTAAGAATTGACTCTAAATCATATATATATATATGATCTCACTCCAAACTTTAAACCAAAAACCTTTTGAGCCAGAATTTTGAATAAAAGTTGAAGCTTTTAGATGAGGAGTTAGAGACTAGGATTTTGTGAGTAGTTTACTCTAATATTACAGAGATAACGTTTTAATTTTGTTTGTAGATATAAACCCTATTGTGGCGTTTTTTAGGTTGGGCCTGTGTTGTATTTGACTGTTAACTAGGAGATTAGATAACTAATTTTTTATCTGTTGCATGCTCTAGTATGAACTTGGTGAGTGGTTTTATAACTAATTTTTGTATACATATATTATGTTTGTATGAACTGTCTTGTGGGATGCCATTTTGAAAAGGATTGAAATCGTTTGTATTGTTAGAAATTAATGATTGTAATTGAGATTGAGGTATTATTCAGGAATTCGGTTGATTATGCATATAAATGTGTTACTGTGAACCTTGTGCATCTAGTTTTGGGGGGGGGGATGATTGGAGTTACTAAGATTTATATACTTGTCATTTGGTATTGGCCTCCATACGGAGTTTTATGGTCAGCCACTATTATTGTCCCACTAGTTCTTTGAGGGATTGTGACATCCTACTAATTCTTCAAGGGGGGCCATGATCCACCAAGTACTCTATGGTCTTTGGCCAGTCCATATTACTCATGTGATGAGCTTGTCAAAGTAACTAGTCAAATAGAAAAAATTTAGTCCATGGGTCTAATCAACAAAAATAAGGAGGATATAAGGATGGATTTGGGTTCATGAAATGCATATGACATTGGATCTTTATTGACATATATTTATATCTTTAAATAAATTAAAAGTATGTTTTCTCTTATGAAATTATCATCTGCATGAGATTGGTGGAAATATTTGACTTATATGGTTGTTGTGAGTTTAAATGTTAAATAGATGTCTATTGATCGTTATCATCTTGACGTATCCCACCTAACACCTCGCTAGCCCATGCTAGTGTGTAATAGGTAGGGATTTAGTTACTGAGATGTTGTCTCACTTTTGTTGTTTTACCATTTTTAGGAAACAATACATTGGCAAGACTTTCGAAGAAGACTCCTGAAGCTCAATAGCTGCAGCTGACAATGTATAGTTTCTGGACCTTACTTTATACAATCTTTTCGTATATTGCCATGTATTAGGACTGTATTCATTTGGAACTTATTTGACTTTCTCATATTTTTATGTTATTTGGCTTGATGAACATATTGCATCTTCTATGTTTGGTTTATTTTGTCTAGACACTGGCTTGGAGTACTGGTAGTGAGCCTGAGACCCTTAGGTTGCATGTGATTGGATTATTTGTGGATCCATGATGTGACAATGGGAATTTTTGCAAGTTTAGTCTTTGTTAATGTCGATTGAGATGGTCAAATATGAACTGCTGTTATAATTTATCAATCAGGAGCGTGTTATCTTATAACCATGTTAGTTATGATTAATCTTTCCTAAGATGGGTTGTACGTGAATGTGTTATATGATAGTGTATGTTAATTACAGATGATAAGATATTTCTTTTTCTAACCATGATAGAATGCCTTTCTATATGGTTAGCCCTTAAAGATGTGATTGCTTCTAAATAACCATGATAGAGGGTGTTTATTGGTTTTATTCTTTTCTATCATGATTAGTTCTAGTTAGGTAAGTGACGAGGTTACAAGTTGTCTTCCCAATCTCATTCCCAGCCATTTTATATATAGGGCAGTAAAGTAAGAGGTAATTGAAGATTTGTTTCTTATAACAGAGATCCTGATCCCTATGCTCAATTACTCCTATATAAGAAGGAAATGAAACGACATGTGTTTAGATTTATTAAGATGAGCATGAAATTATAATATGATAGTGAAACACACACACGTGTGTGTGTGCACATATATATCTTTAACCAAGTATTAACAGCACCGAAAAATGTTGTAGGGTTGCAACAAAACGGTTGATTTGCGAGTTGACACGTTACAGATATATCACCTCCAAAGACGCATATGTATATAGACATATATGTGTGTGTGTGAACAACTTCTTCATTTCCCTCTCCTCTTCTTGCCTTTCTTGCTTTTAAGAAAGCATCAGTTATCTCCATATGTACGGAGATTTATTACTTCTACCTGCTTTCTCTTCTTTCATTTAATTTTTGGTTTTTCTTATTTCTAATATGTGGCATTATTATATATCGTACGTTGTTGCAGTGTTCTTTGCTTTGAGTCTAGGCTATCTTTGTAATATTTGATGGAACATATTACAACAACAACCCACTTGGGAATTCGGAAGTATGATCAATTGCGTGTCTTTCATGGCCATACATATATCTTCTTGGGATGTTTATCCATAATTAATGTTTGACAGTATCGTTGATGCAATATGACAGGACTTCACTTCCTTTTAAGTTTTGGATTTTTCCTCTGAAAACCAGGGCATTTTATCAGCCTCTATATATCTAGTTTTGCTCAAGAGTTATTTTTTTTTTATTTGATGAGATATTCACACTGCAGAGATAGATGCAGAAAATACAAATATTTGCGTATTAATCGTGATCATTCTATATTGTTAACCTTTTTTTTCCCCCGCAATGGTCCCCATTCCCATATGTTGTGCGAGGAATGATACAAGAAGGTTCATACTTTTTTTTGGCCAACAAAGAAGGTTTATGCTATTCTTTGTTTTAATAAGAAATTTGTGAAGAAGAGGAAAAAAAAACCCTCAACGTTAATGTTATTATTGACTTGATTAATTTTTCTGGCATATGATCATTCAAGCAATTATTGGCAGCTATTTCTACATTGACATGATTGCTAACTGTAATTTTCTTGTCTCTTTTTTAATTCTTGTTCTCTTGTAGTGGTTGGAGGAAACGACTTGGTGTGCCATTTCTCTGGGATAAATTTTTCATTTGAAAAAAATCAGCGGTCCGAAATATTTGATTTTTTTATATTTGATTTTATTTCAAAGGTACATAAAAATAAATGAAATATTATGTTTTTTTCCCCTTCAAACATATTTATGTCTCCGATTGTGTTGTAAAGATTATAATACTATATTCATTTTTATATTTATCCAAAAAATTAATATTTTCCTCATAATTTTGAACAAAAACTTTAGAGATATTTGCACGATTCTGGTGCCCTGGATTTTTCTCCACATGGTAATGACTTGAATATATACACAGATGCGTGCATATGTCTCTATACACGTGTGTCTATATACATACATACATATATATACAGATATATATATCTTTTACACATGAACTAGCATTCTGCATTCCTCACTTAAGCCTTGTCCCGTTCATCCTTCTGCAAAATTAGCATCATCAAGACCCTCAATATATACTTAGAATAATCACCAATGGCTTTTCTGAATGCCACTTTTGACTTGTATCTCCTAGGCTTCGTCGCCTTCTTGTTCGCGTTAATTAAACTTACAAGAACAACAAAAAAGAAACCCAATCTGCCTCCATCTCCACCGAAATTGCCAATTATCGGCAATATTCATCAGTTAGGCACTCTTCCTTATCGTTCTTTCAGAGACCTCTCTCTGAAACACGGCCCTCTCTTGTGGTTGCAGCTCGGTCGAATTCCTACTTTACTGGTCTGTTCTGCAGATTTGGCCAGAGAACTGATGAAGAACCAAGACGCAGTTTTTGCCGGCAGGTTTCAAAACATATCTGCCAGAACCTTACTCTATGGATGTAAAGATATCGCCTATGCCACTTATGGCGAAAGCTGGAGACAGAAAAGGAAGATTTGCGTGCTTGAACTTCTGAGCTTGAAAAAGGTTCACTCTTTCCAAGTCATAAGAGAAGAAGAAGTTGCAGAAATGGTGAAGGAGACACGAAGACCTTGTTTGAGTGATACTAATCGCTCTGTGAACATAAGTGACCTCATATCTGCCACCACCAACAACATAATATTCAGATGCATAATTGGACAGAAGTATGATATATCAGAGAGCAGTGCGAGATTTGGGACGCTTGCGAGGAAGGAGATGATTCATCTTGCAGAGTTGGTAGTGGGAGATTTCTTTCCTTGGTTGGGTTGGGTTGATGTTCTCACTGGGAAAATTCAAGAGCTTAAAGGCACGTTTAAACCCATGGATGGGTTCTTTGATCAGGTGACTGAAGATCATAAGTAATAACCAGACAAAACCTGGAATAATAACCAGACAAAACCTGGAATATAGTGCACCATGTGAAGATGATAAGATAACGGAAGCTTGTATGACAACCGATCTTGAAACTTCATTCGAATTACAGGCAAACTACGAAGTCGAAGACGAAGATTACTTTTCCCTTCTGACTTGATTACTTCGGGCCTTAAGTCCTTATGACGTATTTTAGTTTTAAAAAATGATTTTGCGGGCTACTGTTTATCATTCTTATCCCTTAAATATAATAAAACAAGTTCTTAATCCCCACCCCCAATTTAGACAGATCTCATCTCACTTTTTCTACACACGTTATCTCAGTGCGCAAGTTTTTGTAAGACGAATAGTTTCATGACATTAACCGTTTCTGCGAGAGACATACAATTTCAAAGGTCAAAGTCTAGTGCGTCGTCAAACTCTACTTTTTTATATTTCAGATATTATTTATTATCATATCTTAAATATTACCAAGTGGAGAATTCATTGAAAGTCCCTAATTAAAAAATTAACTATGCAAATTAGGTACTTTTCAACTTTGTTTAAAGATTCATCAGCAACCCTTTTTTTGGGACACTTTTTTTTTCAAATGGGATAAGGTGTTTAAATATTCCGGAAATATACATAAAAGAGCACCTAGCATAAGAAAGTTTTTTTTTGTCTCTTATATGTCCTGAAAATTTTGTTTCATAGCATTTTGACCCTGAACTATTATCTGTTATTAAGTTTGACCATTAAATAATCATCAAACTATATAATTTAATAGTCAAACTTAACAGCGGATAACAATTAGAGTATTTTTGCTACAAAGATAAACTTTCAAAGCATATAAGAACTAAAATAAACTTTTTAGACATTGGGTGCTACTTCATGAATACTTCTGAAATATTTAAGCACCTTATATATATTTTTTTAATTGTATGGATCTTAATCTCCGACCATATGGAAAACGACATTGCTCATGGTTAAAGATGAGTTGCACCCACCTGAGTTCATGGGTATCTTTATACTAATTTTTTAATTAAGGACTTTTGATCAATAATTTTTTCAAATATTTAATAGAAAAGTTACTAAAGCTAGAGATAAATAACTTCTTCGAATTAAAAACTTAAAATCGTCACCCATGATATACTCTGCCGAATAATTAAATGGATCAAAGTTTGTAATATACATGTACGACAAATCCTATGAGCAGATTAGCATTGGATTCTTGATGTCATTGTAAGGGTCAATTTTAATCATTCCAATTTTTCTAAGCTTATAAATATGACATTATGTTGTTGGCCGGAATGAATTATGTGGATGGTAGCTCTCTTGTAATATCTTTTATATTGTATCGTGATGATGTCATTTGCAATTAAAAATTAATAATAATATCAACAGTGGTTATCAATATAATTATTGTTAATATAAAATATAAAATCTACAATAAATAAAATTACTCATAAATCGTCAAGAGCTTGTCCTATTTTTTAGCTAGGCACCAAACTTCCCAAACTATGTCTATTTTGAATGCAGTATAATTTTCTTTTGTCGCATTAGAATATGAAGTTCTAACTTTTGTTAAAAATGCTGAATCTGATCAAGACAAAATTATTCTTGTCAGAAAATAAAATAGCGAAGAGGGGATGGAGCGTCTGAACCGGGTCGGTTCCAATTTGAATTATTGAAACTGTACGGGTCAAATAATTGAAGTTAAGGTAGGGTCTAAACTGCTAAACTTTAATCAGGGTGCACAACAAATAGCACCACCTGGGGCTAGAGAGAAAAAAAAGAAAAAAAACAGAGAAAACCGAAGAACTCAAAGATTAGGGCTAAGAAGACACTCTTCTGTATAGTTTTAACTTTTAAGTCACAATATATATTAGGATGATGTAATTTCGCATATTTTTAGAAGTCTTTCCGCAACATATTTCAAAGGTCAAGGAATAAAAGAAATTAACGATATCGCAATAAATATAATATCAGTTAATAATTAAATGGGTTAATATAATTTTTAGTCCTTCAAATGTACACTCATTTTGGTTTTAGTTCCTCAAATTTCAAACTATAGATTTTGATTCCTCAAGTTTTTTTCATTTAAAATATTAATTCCTATAATTTAATAAAACTTGGATCATTTTACCCTTTTAAAGACCAAAAACTTATGGTTTGAAACTTGAAGAGCCAAAACCAAAATGAGGCAAATTTGAGGGGTCAAAAATTATATTAATCCTAATTACATCGTAATTAAATTCTTGATTTAATTTATATTTTAATTAGAAAAATCTCAATTAAAATAACTTAGCACATAAGGGCAGACTCAAGTCCAGTAATTCTCATTTCTCTTCTCTCAAAAAAAAAAAAAATCTTTATGTTACTTTGTTTTGTTAATCATCTCATAGATTTGTCTTGGAAGAGTTATTTAAGCAAATTCTATTTGCTTAACTTTAAAAGTTTAAAGGGAAACCATCGGTACCCAAGATAAATATTGTTGTATTTTTAATCTGCTAAAAAATTAAAACAAAAATATTTGCAGACTTTTTTTTCCTTCTTTTTTGGAAGGGCTTAGCTTGTCTTCCTTTTCAGCACCAAAAGGTTGAGAGAAATCAAATGGCTCAACTTTCACCTGTCAGACACTACTTTCCCTTGGAGCTAAGCTCCCTGCTCTTAGCACTTTCATGCTTCATCGTCACCGTCCTGTTTTTGTTCACTCTCAGAACTAGAACAAGTAAATCCAAGTTGAATCTGAATCGGATTCCGTCGCCACCAAAACTACCCATAATCGGAAATCTTCATCAGATGGGCTCCCTTCCACACCGTTCTTTTCGAACTCTCTCCGAAAAATATGGACCTATTATGTTTTTACAGTTGGGTCAGATTCCAACTGTGGTGGTTTCTTCCGCAGAATTGGCCTCCGAAATTATGAAAACCCATGACCTTGCCTTCGCTGATCGACCTCAGGGTATTGGTCCTACGCTCTTACTCTATGGATGTAATGACATTGGCTTTGGGAACTACGATGAAAAGTGGAGACAGAAGAAGAAAATCTGTGTCAATGAATTTCTTAGCCTGAGAAGGGTTCAATCCTTCAAGAACGTCAGAGAAGAAGAAGCTCGGGAGTTAGTGAATAAGATCCGTGCTTTGTGCTCGACAGGTGCGGGTTCTGTGAATTTGACTGACTTGCTTATTGCTTCATCAAATAATATCGTGTCTAAGTGTGCTCTTGGGGATCAGTTTAACACTGAGGCAAATACGAGGATCGGAGAGCTAGCGAGAAAGGTGATGATCAACCTTTTGGCTTTCAGTGTGGGAGATTATTTCCCTTCATTTCGATGGGTTGATGTTCTCACTGGTCTGGTACCGAGGTTAAAGGCCATCTTTAGAGAGTTAGATGATTTCTTTGAAAGCGTCATTGAAGAACACAGGAGCATGATGAAGAAGACAAGGGATGACCAATTCTCCATTAGGAAAAACTTGCTCGATATTCTCCTTCAACTCCTAGACGACGGCATGCTGGGCGATAGTTTCTCCCAAAACGATCTCAAATCCATCCTAATGGTTGGTCTCTCTCTTTCTGTCTCTTCTTGTTTTATTCTGATATTCTATTCCAAGTCAAAGCCCCTTTGGATGATTCTCCAGGTATTCAAATCCTGGGGTTGTGTATTAACGGAACGAATGATTCGTTGTGATAGATTAAAAATTCTTGATATATATATATATATTGTAGGATATGTTTGTGGGAGGAAGCGACTCAAGTTCAGCAACAATGGAGTGGGCCATGGCGGAGCTGGTGATGAATCCAACGAAAATGCAGAAAGCCCAGGAAGAGGTAAGACGCATAGTGGGGAACAAGTCAAAGATCGAGGACGAAGACATAAATCAAATGAATTACTTGAAATGTGTGGTCAAAGAAATTCTGAGATTGCATCCAGCCGCGACTCTCTTCCCCCTCGATTATCCAGATCAAGTGTGAATCTCGGAGGGTACAGTATTCCGGCTAAAACAACGCTGTACATAAACGCTTGGGCAATTCAAAGAGATTCTGAGTTCTGGGAAAGACCTGAAGAGTTCATTCCTGAGAGATTTGAGAAGAACGATGTTGAATTCAAAGGGCAAAACTTCCATTTCATACCGTTTGGTTCAGGAAGAAGAGGATGTCCTGGAATGATATTTGGGGTTGCCGCTGTGGAATCCATTCTAGCTAATCTCTTGTACTGGTTTGACTGGAAGCTGCCTACTGTAAATGGCGTCACTGTTCAACACATAGACATGGAGGAGACGTTCGGGCTGGTTGCGAGTAAAAAAGCACCTCTCTATCTTCAACCAATACCTCACTATTAATTAATTCAGAACCATATATATGAATGAGATGACCATGTTGAGTGTTTTTTTATGTTATGACTTGTCATCGAAGATTGTGCTAATATTTAGAAATGACGTAAAATATATATATATCATATATCTGTTTGTACGTATACATGAAGTTGAAGTTTGCGTGCAGGAGACTCTGAGACGCTACTTGTAATTGTTCAATAAAAAAGTTAATTGGACAAATGTCTCATTCTCAGGTTGATTATATTGATATCTAATGGGATAATATAATATCACTTGGGTGGTGTTTGGAAACAGGAAAGAGCAACCTCAATTTCCCTTTATGAACAACTTGGCAATTACTATTCTTGACAAGGTATAGATATTATTCTTAGATAAAAATTTGCCTCGAAATTAAAAATATACGGAGAAGAAGATTAATTTCCCAAGAAAATGTAACCATAAAGTTGTTATTATTTTCATATTTCATTGCAAAATAACAAGAATGGTAAGCCAAATGATAAGAGTGATAAGCGAAATAACAATTTTGTAGTTGAGTTTTTCATGAAATTAAGTTTCATAAAAAGTTGACATTATTTCCAAGAGTTAAGGACTTAAATATGAAGTAAAAGATTTGAAGAGAAAAAGGAAAGTTTATATTAGAAAATGCCGTAAGAATCTCAGAACACTCACTAGCC